GAGAGAGAGAGAGAGAGAGAGAGAGAGAGCGAGAGAGAGAGAAGAGAGAGAGAGAGAAGAGAGAGAGAGAGAGAGAGAGAGAGAGAGAGAGAGAGAGAGAGAGAGAGAGAGAGAGAGAGAGAGAAGAGAGAGAGAGAGAGAGAGAGAAGAGAGAGAGAGAGAGAGAGGAGAGAGAAGAGAGAGAGAGAGAGAGAGAGAGAGAAGAGAGAGAGAGAGAGAGAGAGAGAGAGAGAGAGAGAACTGGAGTTCCGCCTCGCTTGGCGGCCACATTCGCCCCCCCCCCCCCCTCAGATCTCGCGGCGGCGTAAACATGGCGGAGTGCTAAATGATTTCCAACCTGCAAAATCAGAGGACACGTTGGTGTGTACAGGGTGGGGGCGCACAGTATATGCGTAGCCTCCAAAACGTCAAAAGCAGCTAGACCCTTTGGAGGAGCCACAACTTGCCAGTCCAATGGCTGCGTGTTGTGTTTTTGGCGTCCCTGTCGGCTCGTCTATGTTGTGTTTTTGGCGTCCCTGTCTGCGCGTCTATCGGCCCGCTGGCCGGCCGCAACTCGCAGCTCTCCGTGTTCACTTTCTATCGATTATCGGGCACCGTCCGGGCTTCTCCGCACGCCGGATTTCGCCATCGATTGTGCGTGACCCTCGGTCTCCAGCCGGCCTCAAGGCCATCGCGTTCGCCGGCGGTTGGGCGCATAGCTCACCAGGGGAGAGGGGGGAGGGGGATTGAAGCACTCGTGGTGATGGAGCGGTCTTTGGCGGAAGAGAATGGAGGCTGACAGGTCGTGTCAACGCCGGTGTCGTGTCGTGTAATATCAGTCCTGCATTGCGGCCGCGGAAGGCGCCAGTGAGAGCGCCCGGTTTATTCGGCGGTGCAGTCTACCCTCCGCATCGGGGGGACGCATCGGCGGATTACCCGTGAATGCACTTCTGCACGAGATATCGCCTCCATATCGACCTACTCGATGAGGAGCACTGAGGATGAGGATGATGAGGATGAGGATGATGAGAATGATGATGAGGATGAGGATGAGCTGGCTTGTGAAGGCTCTCCGTAAATTATGCTCCTGTTGGGGTATTGCGTAAACCATGTTCCGTATATCGGGTTTTAGGCGCGCAAACAGGTGGCTTGATATGGAAGTTCCAGTGCAATTTTTCACATTTACGTAGGAGATTTATTTTGACACCCATCAACTCCGATAATATGTATTGACCTGTGGTCTCCATTCTGCCGTTCCGCCACTCAGTTCCCTGTCGGACGTTTGTGGGCGCGCGCCGATCTGGCGGACGACATATTGGAACTCCGTTGCGCTGATTGGTGGCCGGTTTTGTGCTGAACGTCACACGGCTGGCCGAGTAGATTGGTTAGCTGAGGTCATGCACAATTTCGATTTGCAAGATAGCAGAAGGTTAGTCACATTTGTGAAGTATTGAATGTGCAATGTGGAAAAATTGAACAATGCAACAACGCCCTGACACGGTAGCCACCACAGTGCTAGTGTAGTTACACTAACGTCTCAAATGAAAATTTTCTCTAGTATATTTTGGGGTGGGCGGGTAGTTGAAGGCGGGACCAGGGCCCTTTCCCAAGCATGACCCGTCGAGATCAGGCCCGTGTTTGGCGGCGTAACGGTCCGAGTTGGCGTGGTGTTGCATGCAGGCCTTCCCAGGGCGGATGAAAGGAGCCCCAGCAGACGAGCGACGAGCGAGTGGCCTGAGCGCTCGTTCTCAGGGGCAAACAGAGTCGCGGGTCAGGTCAGGGAGTGTCGCCCCAGGAGACGAGCGACGAGCGAGTGACCTGAGCGCTCGTTCTCAGGGGCAAACAAAGTCGCGGGTCAGGTCAGGGGGCGTGGCGGTTTTCCTTACACACCAGGCAAGCAGTTCCTTCAACAGCTGAAAGCTTGTGGCTTTTCTGATGTGCCCAGCGCAAGCTACATTTTGCGCTCGTGACACGTCATGGGCTCAAAACAAAACGAGGTCGATGCCCGGTGTCACTGCGCGTTACAAGTCGGCTTGCGGAGGGCCGTTACAAGGGAGTCGTTACAAGTCGGCTTGCGGAGGGCCGTTACAAGGGAGTCGTTACAAGTCGGCTTGCGGAGGGCCGTTACAAGGGAGTCGTTACAAGTCGGCTTGCGGAGGGCCGTTACAAGGGAGTCGTTACAAGTCGGCTTGCGGAGGGCCGTTACAAGGGAGTCGTTACAAGTCGTCGGCTCGCCGTGCTTCCCAAGCGGGATAGGTTTAACTCAACTCGTCCAACGTCCAAGTTTTTCAGAATTTAACACGTATGGGAGCCATGCATGCATGTAAAGTATGGGAGCCATGCCTCCCCTGTGCCGTAGCTGGGCCTGACATGGAAGTCATGCCTCCCGCGGTGCTGTGGCTGGGCCTGGTATGGGAGCCATGCCTCCCCTGTGCCGTAGCTGGGCCTGACATGGAAGTCATGCCTCCCGCGGTGCTGTGGCTGGGCCTGGTACGGAAGCCCGCATCTCAGCAACACACGTGCGTGTGTTTTCTACGCTCTACCCACCGAACTGTAGGAATTATTTCGTATTGGTTCTAGAAACGCGGTAATTGTGATCATTGGCCCTAAAGTGGCAAACCTTCTGGCCACTGTTCGCATGTTTGCACGTGACGATCACCATACTGTTCGCATGTTTGCACGTGACGATCACCATATTGTTCGCATGTTTGCACGTGACGATCACCATACTGTTCGCATGTTTGCACGTGACGATCACCATACTGTTCGCATGTTTGCACGTGACGATCACCATATTGTTCGCATGTTTGCACGATGACGATCACCATATTTATATGTGCTATGAAGGCAAATACGGAGGACCGTGTTCGTGTACTTACGGATCGCCAGCACGTTTGCATACTTGGACGTCACTGGTCTATTGCTTAATTACCGGCACCTTATTTGTGTACCTCATACATACCAAAATTTTCCCGGTAAATTTACACGTTGTCGTCATCCTTTTGATATCAGCTTTATCCTGTCCGTAACCCACCATTTTCTCACCGGCAAATGTCTATATTTACTTCAAATTCACTTTGGTTACCTAGGTAAATAAGTCCGCTGTCAGTCGGACGTTCACACTCCGTATCCAGGAATAAGTCTGGCGTGCACCGAACACGCCACACCGATCAATAAGGCCGCACCGAACACGCCACACCGAACAGGCCGCACCGAACACGCCACACTGAACAGGCCGCACCGAACAGGCCACACTGAACAGGCCGCACCGAACAGGCCGCACCGAACAGACCACACCGAAAGCGGATCAATGGTCGGGCCTGTAATGGTATGCGTAACTCAATGAAAAAATAACATTTCCTGGAGAATCGGCGACACGTGACGACGCTCTGTCGTGTTCCTTTCCATTGGCGTTATTAATTTCGAGGTCGTACTTCATGGTGTCAGAATTTTGCGTTCTCTTATCCTAAGTTGGATGTGCGCTGTATCATGGCACTGGCTGGTCAACCACTCCTGGTTTAATACCTGCAATGTTGGTGTCCTGTAGAAACCGGCTCGCTGGTTGAAAACAACTGAAAAATCAAGTAGGGTCATCGGCAGGCAATCTCGAGTCAAATTCTGCTTTCCGTTTCGATAAAGGGATGCTGCCAAAATATCAACGCATCTTTTATCTCCATTCTCCTGTTTTTTCTCCGAGGAATAAGGGTATTTAGTTACTACTATTCTATCGACATGAATAATGCTCCTCTGAAATGTACATAGCAGTTTACGTAACTTTGCAATTTTTTCAGCTGTTGTCGCGTAGTGGTGGAAATGTGCTGAAGCGTCGTTGTTGACTCGTCGTTGGCAGACGTCATTATTCTTGCTGGGTGGACTTTGACCGTGACTCTTCCTTGAAAGGCAGCTGACTGTTGCTTGGCGACCTCGCCGTAGCTCTTCCCTGAAAGGCAGCTGACTATTGCATGACAACCTCGCGGTAATTGGTGGATGGCAATTATGCAGCGTCCTCCGCCCGTCCGTCTGGCGTGACTGAAACGTCGGTCATGCAGTGCGCTTCCATCAATTATTTTGTCGGTACCACGCATCGCTCGGCGGGTTTTCGTATGCGCTGGTTGGGCGACGCCCTGCCGTTAGTACCTCGGCACGCTTCTCGTGGCACGCTTCTCGCTAGTTCTCCCTGAAACTTTAGTGCGCATATTTTAATTGGACGTTTTTTTCTGGGGGCAGAGCTTACGCTGAACAGAGATTGTTGCATGAACCCTGACCGTGACCGTGACGTCACCCCACCACCCGATCGTGAAATTCTAGTTCAGAATTTAGTGGTAAATTTAGACAGATCTAGACAGAATTAAGTGGCAAAAGCCTAACGTGTCGCCGTGGTCAACGCGGCCCGCCATGCTCTTGACCTCATTTAGGTCAGGAGGCTTTCCCAGTCAGGCTATTCACTGCTTCCGGCCGGAGGCCATCCCAGTCAGTGGCAGATAGTGAGCGCCGAAACGGCTCGAACCCACCCACCCTGCCACGGGCCTCTCTTGAACTCACGCCTGTCCGCCGTCTCACGCCTCTCCACCGTCTCACGTCTCTCCGCCGCTTCATGCCTCTCCACCGCCTCACGCCTCTCCACCGCCTCACGTCTCTCCACCGCCTCACGCCTCTCCACCGCCTCACGTCTCTCCACCGCCTCACGTCTCTCCACCGCCTCACGCCTCTCCACCGCCTCGCCCTCCCCACCGCCTCACGCCTCTCCACCGCCTCACGCCTCTCCACCGCCTCACGTCCTCTCCACCGTCTCCACCGCCCCGCCCTCCCCACCGTCTCACGTCTCTCCACCGCCTCGCCCACTCCACCGCCTCACGTCTCTCCACCGTCTCCACCGTCTCATGCTTCTCCACCGCCTCACGTCTCTCCACCGCCTCGCCCTCTCCACCGCCTCACGTCTCTCCACCGTCTCCACTGTCTCACGCCTCTCCACCGCCTCACGTCTCTCCGCCGTCTCACGTCGCGCCGCCTTCCTGTTTCAGTCATGGGACGCGTACTTCTCGCGGGCGGCGGGCGGCGCGCCACCGGGCGCCGCCTACTCGTCGCCGCCGTCGCTGGCGACGCCGGCGGCGAACACGGCGCCTGTGACGGCGCTGGTACCGCATGGTGCTGGCGCCAGCAGCGGCGTCGCGCGCGCTGCCACCGCCGACGAAAAGAGCATTCAGGATCATCTGAGCGTGCTGGGCGTCATCAGGAGCTATCAGGTGGGTCATCATTGCTGACAGGTGGGTCATCAGGAGCTATCAGGCTGGCCACCAGGAGCTGACAGATGATCAGGAGCTATAAGGTGGGTCGTCGGGGCTGGGAGATAGGTGATCAGGAGCTATCAGGCTGGTCACCAGGAGCTGACATGATCAGGGGCTATCAGGTGGGTCATGGGGCTGGGAGATAGGTGATCAGGAGCTATCAGGCGGGTTATCAGGGGCTACAGGACCGGTCAGGTTGCGTCAGGTCTTCTCAAATCACTTAGCCGGGACAGCGGAAGCGGGCGGCAATGCGCACACTGGGATACGCCCACGCACGCTATTTTCGCACACGCAATGCACACACTGGGACACGCCCACGCATGTTATTTTCGCACACGCAACGCACACACTGGGACACGCCCACGCACGTCATTTTCGCACACGCAACTGCACGCACAGTACGCGCCGTTCCAAACACGGATCCCCGACCCCAGGCCGCAGCCCCCGGGCGGCAGTGGGACGGGACGACGATAGCCGCCGACGCTCCTTAAAGGGATCGACGCGAAGGGAGGCGTGATTCCTTAAAATGGCTCCCTCCCCCCCCCCCCACAAAACAAGGCTTCTGGACATGCTCGATTTTTTTGTGTTGGAGCAGGGGGCGGACGTTGGCTGTGTTTTTTGTGTGCGGATTTATCGGACGGTTAATGCTGGTTTCGACGCTCGATTTTTAGTTAGGCAGGCGATAGGTTTTTTGCGTCCGGAATGGCCCGTAATTGTACTGGCGTGAAGATCCCAACTCTAAAGTTTGAATGCGGGTTCCGCATTACATCTGTTGATGACCTTTGCTGACCTTCTGACTTACGATTCCTGCGTGATCTCGGCACCCAGATCTTCCGTGAAATTCCCATTGTTTACGTCACGCGGTGACCGATTGGTCCTGCGGTCAGCCGCTGTGTGACCTCTGTTTGACCTCTGTATGACCTTAACCGGCAGATCCGGGGTCACCTGGTGGCGCGTCTGGACCCGCTGGAGATCGAGCGAAAGCCGGTGGAAACCGCCTCGGAAATCGTCGTCAGAGGATACATGAAGTCGTTCGGTGAGATCGCCGGCTGTAGTGTTGCGGCTCGGTGAGACTGCCGGCTGTAGTGTTGCGGCTCGGTGAGACCGCCGGCTGTAGTGTTGCGGTTCGGTGAGACTGCCGGCTGTAGTGTTGCGGCTCGGTGAGACCGCCGGCTGTAGTGTTGCGGCTCGGTGAGACCGCCGGCTGTAGTGTTGCGGTGGGGGGGGGGGGGGGATTGAAGGAGTTTCTCATGTGTTTCGACGGACGGCCCTGGTCTTCTATGCTTCGTTTTGGCCACTCGCGTGGCCAAAATGCGCGTGATAGCTGAAATGTTCCACCCCGCCGCCACCACTACAGCATTACCTGGGTGAAGTCACAACTTGTCTGTGGGAGAGGGGGGGGGGGGGCAACTCAACTCCTTTAAGGTTGATTGTTTAAAGATAAGGCCTTGTGCTCCGACCTTGTGATCGAAGGCCTAGTCCTCACATGAGAACTTCAGGAGCTTCAGAATAGACTTCAAGTCTGTGGCGGAGCCAGGTGTTCCTCATGACGTCAGGAATAGGTGCTCCTGGGACCTTCACGCGCCGGCAACCATAATAAGTGCAGGCTACTTCACATCCCCCCCCCCCCCCCCCGTGAGGTGTGTTTGTTCTCTGCAAACCTGTCTACATCCACAGTTTGCGCAGGTAATGATAGGATGAGTTGTTGCCAGGCCAGTGTGCGACGGGTGCGGTTATGTTCGAGCGTTCCGCATTTCGGCCGAGGCCAGACTCGTGGCCTGTGGTGTCACGGCACGGAAACGGCCGTGGCCGTGGCCGACCGTTTGTGTAAGCCCTTCACAGAGCCGGTGGAGGAGCCGGCTAACAGATGGCTGGGTTAGGTGACGAGAGGTGTCAGTTTCACCCAGTTTTGGGCCAACACTATCGCTCGCTCAAGCTGCGATGTGAACTTGGCCCTTCTCCCCCTGCCCTGGCTGTTCATATGTCCTCTGCGTTCAAGCTGCGATGTGAACTTGGCCCCTTTTCACTGGCCCTGGCTGCTCAATGTCCTCTGCGGCTCGTGGGCGGTCCATGACCTGCCGACACGGGCGCTGCTCGCTGCTCGGCGCCCTCATCGAGCCCAAGCCTGACGGGCGTCGGAGCATGGTGAGAACGTGAGCTGAGGCGAAGCTGTCCTCACCCCGCCCGCCGCCCTGCCGCAGACGAGCAGGACATGGACACGGTGTTCCAGCTGCCCTCCTCCACCTTCATCGGCGGCAGCCAGAAGGCGCTGCCGCTGGGTGAGATCGTCAGCCGGCTGGAGCGGGCCTACTGCAGGTGCGGAGGCGGTCCAAGGAGTTGTGCTGGACCTGGTCTGCTGCCGGTGGCCCGCGTGGACTCGGGGTGGAGAGTCTGGCCTTCTGCTGACACATGCGCCCGGGGCGTGTGGACCGTGGAGGCCTCGGTGTTGGTGTGTCGGCCAGCGGCGGACTGTGTGCACGCTTGTGGTGTTGGCGTGGGCTCAGGTTGGGGAGGGGCGGAGCTGAATGTGTCGGCCAGCGGCGGACTGTGTGCACGCGTGTGGTGTTGGTGTGGGCTCAGGTTGGGGAGGGGCGGAGCTGAATGTTCGCCGCTTGTTATTTAAAGACATCACGAATCGCCCACGTGGACCGATTCCCGTTCCAGGAATATCGGCGTTGAGTACATGTGCACCAGTGATCGTCCACGTGGACTGATTTCCGTTTCAGGAGCATTGGCGTGGAGTACATGTACATCAACGACCTGGAGCAGTGCAGCTGGATCCGGCAGCGGATCGAGTCGCCCGGTATACTGCAGTTCAGCAGCGACGAGAAACGGCTGCTGCTCGCCCGCCTCGCCCGCGCTTCGGGGTGGGTTTGAGGACCACTGGGGCCGCTGGCTTTTGGAGCCGCTGAGCCTGCTGCGGTCCTCAAGGGGGTTGGGGTTTGGGAGAGTCTGTGTTATTTCCTCTGATGGGGAGTGACTGGTCTGCTAAGTTTGGGACATACGGGGTCGGGGAGGTTTGAAAGCCACTGGGCCGGGTGGGTTAAGGACACAGAGGGCCGGCTGTGTTTGAGAACCGCTTGGTTTCGTAGGTTTGAGGGCCACCGGCCCGGCAGGTATGATGCATCACTTTGCTTGTATATATTTGGGAACCACGCAGCTTAGTCGGTAGTTCGTGTTTGTGGAGGCAATGTGGTGTCTAATATTTGGAAATGACTGGGTCTGATGGATCTGGGACCCACTGTATGCAGCTTAGGCAGCGTTTCAATCTTCGTATATTTACCGGGGTCGAGAATACAGTGGCTTCTGGTCTAGAGCGTACGTTTGGGAGCCTCTGGGTTTGGTACGTCATTGTCGACTGTTAACTGAACTGCGTGGTCCTGTACCTGAGAACGTGGTCCTGAGCTGCGGGCAAGCTCAGGACCGCAGTGTGTGGTCCTGAGCTGCGGGCAAGCTCAGGACCGCAGTGTGTGGTCCTGAGCTGCGGGCAAGCTGAGGACCACAGTGTGTGGTCCTGAGCTGCGGGCAAGCTGAGGACCGCAGTGTGTGGTCCTGAGCTGCGGGCAAGCTGAGGACCACAGTGTGTGGTCCTGAGCTGCGGGCAAGCTGAGGACCGCAGTGTGTGGTCCTGAGCTGGACTGACCCGAAGCCGTGGGCTGACCCGAAGCCGTGGGCTGACCTGAGGCCGCGGTCTGACCTCTGTTGCAGTTCTGGCATCTGGACCGTGCCATCTGGGGCGAAACGCGACTGAGCCCAGCCACGGTTTTGGCCTGTGGACCGCATCGGGTACACTGACCCAAACCAAACCCAGTCCCTGGTTGTTGGCCTGAGCCGGACCGTCCACGCTTGGCAGACGTCCGGCGGCCTGCTCCACATCCAGGCCATCCGCGCCCACGTCCACGTCCGCACCGTCCGCGCCCACGTCCACGTCCGCGCCGTCCGCGCCCCACGCCCGAATCCCCTGGAAGCGCGCACGACCGCGCCCGACTCTGACTCATCGACTCCGGCGGCAGGTTCGAGTCGTTCCTGGCGCGCAAGTGGTCCTCGGAGAAGCGGTTCGGCCTGGAGGGCGGCGAGGTGCTGATCCCGGCCATGAAGCACATCATCGACATCTCGTCCGCCATGGGCGTCGAGTCCTTCGTCATGGGTACGTGCCTGGCCGTGGGTCTTATCATGCGTGCTGGGTCTCGTCATGGGTGCATGGGACTCGCCATGGGTACATGGGCCTCGTCAGAGGTGCATGGACCTCATTGCGGGTACCTGGGGTCTCGTCATGGGCACGTCACGGATCTGGTATGGGTCTCGTTATGTGTACACGTGTCTTGGTCATGGGTACATGGGTCTTGTCACGAATGCGCTGGTCTCGTCTTTGATACGTGGATCCTTCATGGCCGTGGCTCTCGGGGGGGGGGGGGGGGGGGGGCTAGGACGATGTCGAGAGTCGCCTTGCGAGAGTGGGGACCTTATCGCAAGGTCGTGTTGGAGTGGGGACAGTGGCAGGCCACGCCGCGTGACCGGCTCGTCGCGTCACGGCGCGATGGACCGGCAGGCGAGTGTGATGATAGTCCGTGATTCGAGTGCAGAGGTACGGGCACGCCGGTATCAAGCAGGCGTCGCCTGGGTGGAGGCTGCACTGAGGGCCGCTCGGTGATGGTTTGTTCGTTAGACTATGCCCGGCTGACGGGTATAACCAGATGGGTTGGGGTATACCCAGTGTCGGCCGGTAGATTTAGTGTTGTCCTGACCACGTACATGCCGTGCTCTTGCTATCCGCACGTTCAAAGGTCGACTGGGTATGCCGGGCTTGCTCGGGTAGGGATCAGTGCAAACATCGGCGCCTTTCAGAGAGGATCTCCCAGCCTCTTTCTCTTAGCCGCGGTGTTGGCATCTCCGAATCCTTCAGACTAGTGGTGCGCTCCCGCAGCGCGCGCGGAGGCGACCGTTGTGGCCTTTGACGAGCAGCCGACAGGGAGGAGACCTTCTTTGACGGAAGGCTGCATGAAACGGGCAGCTGTGGGCCGTCCCGGTCGATTTGATATTTGATGCATGACTGGAATGCGGCAGATTCCGTGCTAGATAGAGAAGCGGTGTGCTGGGGCAGTAAGTGGGCCGTGAAACCTAGCATTGCCCTCGCATGACGAGTCACTAGTATGCAAACAGGCTTGGACGAAAAGGAATTATTTGGGGCAGTTTCACCAGCGCCCGGAGCTCCGCATTGCCAAAGGCTACTTTTGGACATAGCTTGGCATGCTGTATTTCACCGTCAAACATTAAGGTAGCACAGATGCCGACGAGGTTTTGTGCGCACAAACGTGTCGGTGCCCAATCGCCTTTAGCGATGTAACTGAAACGGTTTAGAACACAAGCACACAGACCACACGCACACAGACCACACGCACACAGACCACACGCACACAGACCACACGCACACAGACCACACGCACACAGACCACACGCACACAGACCACAAGCCGATGGCCGCCCCTCCCGGTGAGCGTCAGCCTTCTCCGCTGCACAGAGCTGCGGTCCGCTTCTCCGCTGCACAGAGCTGCGGTCCTCGTGCCGCAGCTTCTCGGCGGACGGCTGGCGCACTCCGTTTGTCACCAGTAATGCGATGCACGTGCGGTGTTTGTGCTCAGCCTGCGGTGCCCGGTGTCGGACTTGACCCCCGTTAAATACACCGGTGTGGTGCGCTGCTGCCGGACGGTGGATCACCGGTGTGGTGCGCCGCTGCCGGGCAGTAGACCACCGATGTGGTGCTCCGCTGCCGGGCAGTAGACCACCGGTGTGGTGCTCCGCTGCCGGGCAGTAGACCACCGGTGTGGTGCTCCGCTGCCGGGCAGTAGACCACCGGTGTGGTGCGCCGCTGCCGGGCAGTAGACGGGGAATGCGTCTCAAGTGGTGCGTGCCTGGCCGTGTCTGTCCCTACTCCTTTAGTAGAAGGAAGCTGCTAACATTGCATCGCCCGTGTTTTAACATTCCATAAGGTCGTTGTTGCACTTGCAAACAAACACCTACCGCGTGCAGTAGTGCGCCGGTGGTTGCGTGAACGCCGCCGCCGCTCGGCAGGGTGATTGTGTTGAGAGCCCTCCGCCACAGTCATTTCTGCTGTGTTCTCCGCTCTCGGGCTTCTCATTCGTCTGGCCTTGACGTTGACGCTGCACTGGAATAACACGGCCCAGAGCGCAAGAAGTGTTATGTTCATGTCGTCAGTTGTGCACCGAGTACCCGAAAACCCGTATGCGCGTGTGCCACATGCTTTGATACGAATTTTTGGTCGTCTCGTGCAAATTATACCACCTTCACGGATACATGTCATGCTCGGTGGCATTCGCTCTCAGAGTAATCGCCTGTGGGGAGTGTAGAACACGCGTAGGTGTCAGTCATGCCAGGAACTCGCGCGTGGCGTACTCGCCAGCGACTGGTGATCCCTCTGCTGCTTGAAATCGTGACCTTATGCAGCGGTAGCAGTTTCCCAGCCGCTCCCTGCAGCTTGTCATGCCCTAGCCCTGACGCTGTCCCTGTCCCTGACCCTGTCCCTGTCCCTGACCCTGACCCTGACCCTGACCCTGACCCTGACCCTGACCCTGACCCGTCGGCAGGGATGTCCCACCGCGGTCGGCTGAACGTGCTGGCCAACGTGTGTCGGAAGCCGCTGGAGCAGATCTTCTCCCAGTTCGCCGCGTTAGAGGTGGCTGACGAGGTGAGCAGGCGCCCCGCGGCTGGCCAGGCTGCGGCCACCACCAGCGCTCGACCACCCGATAGCTCTGGCCGGTCGGTCAGCCCCTGATGATCACCCACTACAGTGGTGACGGGGGGGGGGGGGACGGGGTTGTGTGGCCCGCGAGGTGCTCTGAGGCGAGGGTCGGAGGGGGTCTGACTCCTGATGATCACCCACTACAGTGGTGACGGGGGGGGGGGGGGACGGGGTTGTGTGGCCCGCGAGGTGCTCTGAGGCGACGGTCGGAGGGGGTCTGACTCGTGGATGACGGGCGCCGAGTGGCCGATCTGAGTGTCGGAGGACCAAGGCTTAGCAAGCAGTGTTAGCGCCGCAGTCTGAGTTGTTCGTCGACGTGATTTTCCGGCGAAAACAGACGCGGGGCGTGGCACGCTGATCACGCTGGTGACACGCTGGTGCTTTAACAGTGCACCTTTGCACCATTTTGGTCGGGTTTGCTGGGCAGCCATCTGAGTGACCGCAGCCATCTGCCCCTAGGCACAATATTCATGACCAGGGCATTACACTAGTCACTTCGCCAACATTTTCCCATCGATATGTGTCCTCGGTCGTCTGGTGTTTCACTCACTCTGGTTTGGCGGCGACGGTTGCTTGACGTCATGTACACGTGTTTGTTCAGACCATCCCTTGGAAAGCATCTGTGGCGTGAAAATGGTTGCACCTGACGGCGTCGATCCATCAAACATCCCCAGAAGCTGTTAGTCCTCACATATGGCGCAACGTGACGTCAGACATCGCCCTCATGACGTCAGACCGAGCCGGTGACGTACGCTGGCGCCCGCGCTGGGCCAGTTAGCCGCGCTCGCCACCGGCGCGGTCGAACCGGACCGCGCCGACGGCGGCCATCAGCTCTGACGGGCGCCTCCTCCGCCGACCCTGACCCGAGCAGGGCTCTGGCGACGTCAAATACCACCTGGGCACGTACGTGGAGCGCCTCAACCGACTGACCAACAAGAACGTGCGCATGGCCATCGTGGCCAATCCGTCCCACCTGGAGGCCGCCGACCCCGTTGTGCAGGGAAAGACCCGCGCCGAGCAGTTCTACCGCGGCGACAACGAGGGCAACAAGGTCTGTGCGCGGGGATGCGGGGCGATCGGGATGGAAGGTCTCGGGTTCGATTCCCGCTGTCAGAACTTTTTCGTTGGGTGGAGTTTCTTCTGAGAGAGGCGGCGCTGATGACCGTGGGCGGTACCTACGTCCGTAGATGAGAGAAGGGAAGATGGAGAGAGGACGCACAGGGTGGCCGAGAGGATCATTTTTTTACTGCAAGATCCCGGGTTCGAATCACCGCACCGACCGCGTCTTGGTCTCCGTCTTCTGTCATCATGTTTCATCTGTCTCCCCCATCACGCTCGCCCTTTCCATCTCCCTCTCTCCCCCTCTCCCCTCTCCCTCTCTCCCTTTTTCCCTTTCTCCCTCTGCCCGTCGGCCGGTGCCGGTGCCGCTGTCCGCTGACCTCTCCGCCGTGCCCGCAGGTCATGTCGATCCTGCTGCACGGCGACGCGGCCTTCTCGGGCCAGGGTGTGGTGTACGAGACGATCCACCTCTCCGACTTGCCCGCCTACACCACCCACGGCACCATACACATCGTGGTCAACAACCAGGTGGGCTGTGGCTGCACCAGCCGCTGGCTGCGCGGCGCGGCCGGTGCCCCCGGCTCGCGCTTTGTGAGGGACGCTAGCCGCAGGGTTTTGTGGCGTGGTGTTGTGCTGGCTACTGAGAGCACTTTTTCGCTTGTGAAGCAAATATTTCCCAGTCTGAGATGGTTTGAACCCGATATACGTAGTCTGCGCAGAGTTGTCTCAATATGTCGTACTATGCTGGCGTCGACCGATCCAGCCGACCTCACGAGTCCCCTGTGATGACCTCTAACCTATCTGACCTCTGCCTAACCCCGCTGGCCCTGTCTGACTCCACCTGACCCAGTCTTAGCCCACCTGGCCCTGTCTGACTCCACCTGACCCAGTCTTAGCCCACCTGGCCCTGTCTGACTCCACCTGACCCAGTCTTAGCCCACCTGGCCCTGTCTGACTCCACCTGACCCAGTCTTAGCCCACCTGGCCCTGCCTGACTCCACCTGACCCAGTCTTAGCCCACCTGGCCCTGCCTGACTCCGCCTGACCCAGTCTTAGCCCACCTGGCCCCGCCTGACCACGTCCGACCTCGCTTGAACCCGTCTGAACCCGCCTGAACCCGTCTGATCCCGCACAAACTTGTCTGACCTTCCCTGTTCCCGCCTGAACCCGTCCGATCCCGAACCCCTCCGACCCCCCTGACCCACAGACCGGCTTCACCACCGACTCCCCGTCCTACCCGCTCCCACCCGTTGACTCCCGCCTGACCAGTCTTACCCCGCCAGACCTCCTCAGACCTTGTCTGACCCCGTCTCACCTCACTTGAACTCGTCTGACCCAGTCTTACCCTGCCTGACCCGGCCTGACCACTTCGGACCTCACCTGAACCTGTCTGATCCCGTCGGAAACCGTCTGAGCCCGCATAAATATGTCTGACCCCACTTGAACTCGTCTGACCCCTCTGACCCGCAGATCGGCTTCACCACCGACCCCCGTCTCACCCGCTCGTCGCCGTACTGTACGGACGTGGCGCGCGTGGTGAACGCCCCCATCTTCCACGTGAACGGAGACGACCCGGAGGCGGTGATGCACGTGTGCAAGGTGGCTGCCGAGTGGCGCAACACCTTCCACAAGGACGTCGTCATCGACATCGTGAGTGAGGCAGGACGTGGGCGAAATGTGGTGGGCGCCAGATAAGTGCTGCCACCTTTAGGCGCCTTGTGAACTTGAGCCTCGCGTAATCACCGCGCTTCCACGATGGTGTAGTTTATGTCCGTGGCAGCGGGCTGTATGGTATGACAGACTAGATTTGGGGAAACATATGAGTTGTTTTAGATGCTTGTTTATTATAATCAGTGGTCTGATATTCGATATACTTAATAGTATGACGGTAAGTTGTGTGGTGTTAGGAGTGCTGCCACCCCCTAATTAGGAGTGCTGCCACCCCCTCTTCCCTCCCCTGCGCATGGACGCCAATACCCCGCCTGTCGTCCGTAGAGCCCGCAGAACACTCCGTAACTCTACTGCGACGTCCCCCACGCGCGCGTCCAGTATGAAACGTGATGCCAATGTGTTCCCCGCCGTCGGCAGCGTAGCTGTCTGATCCAGATAGGTGCAGGAGGGAAGTGAACGACACTGAACGACAATGTGATGTCATTGGCCCTTCATCGTCATACCTTGGGTTGATTGCGAACCGACCCCGCTAATGGCTGATACACACACAGCCAAGGGGAAGAAAGAACGACCTGCAACTGTGTCATCACCACTAGACGCCGTGTGTTTGTTGCGAAGCACATGACTTGTTTAGCCTGCGGACTTGTGTCCGGTTGGATTGCGCGCTGCTAAGCGGGGTCTCCTCCCTGGTAAGGGCGTGATGGCGTTGGCAGGTGTCGTACCGCCGCAACGGCCACAACGAGATCGACGAGCCGATGTTCACGCATCCGTTCATGTACAACAAGATCAAGAAGACGCCCAACCTGCTGGAGAAGTACTCGCAGAAGCTGATCGAGGAGGGAACCGTCACTGCTGACGAGTTCAAGGTCAGCCCAAGGTCGTGCTTGTGAGGGGAAAGGCCTGCCGAGACCATGCTGTGGGCTTGTACGCGTGTCTCCGGACCGCGGGAGTGCGTGAGACGGCATAACATACCGTGTGATGAGGGCTTGTGCTGTTCTGGACGTTCATAGGAGTCCAGGACGCACCGAAAGTCCTGCAGGCCTGCATGTACGCCATTGCTGGGTGGTTTACACACACCTTTCTAGCATCAGCTTATTTAGCTGAGAGATTCATATAAAAACTTATGTATCAAGACAAATGCCACCAGAAGCAGTTTCCTTGAACTCGTTTATCTGGTGACTATCCAAGATGGAATACTTCTTCGCTTCGAAGATGGCTCGGGACACCTCTTGTGATGAACTTTTTTGTGATGTCAACAGTCATTTACCAGCTTTCCTGGTACTATTAGCACGAAGCTTTCAGTCTGGGGCAATGGAATCATGACATTTGAAGTCCAAAACTGACCTCTTCAGCATGAGGGTGTTTTAGCGGGTTGTCGTGTTACAATTCTCGCCCTTGTAAGCAAGCACCCACCAAACCACTCCCGGGTCACTCGGGGCACTCTGGGCGTCTTCTGGCACAGTGTTTGACACCGTGCGCGGCGAGTGCTGTGCCAGAGGCCGTACTGTAGGGTTGCCTATGGGAGAGAGTTGAGTCCTCTTTGCCAACTGATTTGCTGTTCCACAAACTGAAAGGCTGCATCCAATTCAGGCTCGAGATAGTTGGTTTTAAACAACGGTTTATTAATCATCTTGGAAAAAAGCAGGCCGAAATTGCAGTGTGATAACAGCATCTTGTTTCGACAAATGCCGGCGCACGGTCACTCTTGGCGCGTGCAATGAGTGAGTGACCCAAATCAGTTCGCGAACGGAACTGATTTGGCCAGCCTCCGGTGCGTGGCTGCCGGTGACGGCGGACGGCTGAGTCTGTGCACGAGGCGCTGCGCGGCTTCCGTCGGTAGCGGGTGGTGACGTCACGGACTGGCGCCGGGGTGGGAGAGCATGGGCGCGCCACAGCTCTGTCGCGCGCCGCCAGATGTAGCTAGGCCGCACAGTGCCGCACGCGCGCCGCCTGGCGGTGCAGACAGCAGGTATTGCTTGTGCGGCCGGCGAGCCGCTGCTGGGGTGTGACTGCTGCCCGCCGGGGAGAGCTGTGCGTCGTGCCGCTCGCTCGCTGTGATCTGGTGTCGGCACCGGCGGCTGGCCGGTTCGGCCCGTTTAAGTGTTGCGCAGCGGGTCGCGGTGCCGGTGTCTGCCGTTGGTCCTGTCTATGAGGCTTGAGTGATGTGTGATAGATCAGAGGCTAGATTAAGGACTAGTCTCAGGGTGTGGTCTAGGCAACGCGTCACCCCAGCTTGTCCTTGTGCGCACGCCAGCGGCCACGGAGGCGCATAGTCTCCAAGGCCGTTGTGGGACGATGCATATCACCTGGGGAGGGGGCGGGGGGGGGGCTACTCTAGTGGATGGATGACCTGCTGCCGGTGCCACGCAGTAACAGACCAGATGACCCTCCCGTCAACCAGGCTGGATAGAGGCAGACTCTTTGATTGTGCTCGGTGCATGAACTCTTGTCAGTGCTGGGCTCCCGCCAAGGTCGTCTGACCCCGGTCGTCAGCGGTGGAGGCTGCCGTACCATGCCATACCAGGCCATACCCGGCGGCCCTTCTGTGGATCAGAAGCACTTTCGCCTTCGTTAGCCGCTAAATGCCGTCGGGCTGTGTCCGCACCGGCAGCCTCGCCGGCGTTAGAGTGCGCATGCGCGCGTCGCTCAACAGCTGACTGCACAGCAGCTGATGGGACGGCCGTGGCTGAATGGAACGAGCCGTAATAGTAGTGACTGCTGCGGGGTTCTGCTGATGGCATCGTTAACTGCACGCGGCCTGTGGGCCTCGTTCGGGACGCCCGACCGGGCCGGCGGCGGCGCCGGCAACGTACGGTCCCCCGGCGCCCCGCTAGACGGCAGGAGCTGTCACCTGTAGCCTGTTCTGTTCCTTGTTTCAGGAGGTATGTCATCACTGCGGCCCGCATTGGAACAGTAACTATGTTGTCTTCCGGCGTACCTTTCCCTGCGCTGTCACGAGCCTCAGCCGTGACCTGGCCGCGCATCCCGGGGGCATCCAGCGGGGAATAAGGCGCCGACACTACCTGGCCGTGCTACTCAGGGACTCGCATTGCCCTCGCTGTGAAGCGTCCTCCGAGGCGAGCTGAGCTCTCTGCATAGTTCAGATTTATTTACTATGTTGACATCAATTCATGCCGCTTGCACTTGTTCTTAAACGGCGCCAAAGTTTCCTTTAATGGGGTATTTTGTGGAGCCGCCGTGATATAAGCCATGTTAACGTTCGAGCCTTCGGTTGGTGTTTGTCGTGTTCTGGACACCGTGCCCCAACACGCTGGACTCTGCATGTTTGTGTCCCTGTGAAATGCAGAGATAAGCTTCAGCGAACTTAAGTTCTGTTGATTCGACTGTACTCTGGTCTTGAAGTTACTTCACCGAAGAGTCACAAAAAGATTCGATGTCTTTACCTTCACACCTCGTCGATTTGAAGCGTAGCGCATTCTAGAGAGTTTTACAAGCTTGAACTGACCAGCGCGATTCGCATTAGGAATTTTGGTGATGTTCTTGCAAGTCATGCCTACGCAGGCACTATTCGCTCACTTGTGCGTGGCTTAGATTCCCATCAAACACCATACTTCTTGTGTTCATTCTGGCGCCTAATTGTCCTCACCTGTGCACACGTCTGTTCACATTCCACACTTCTGTATTCACACCCAACCAACCCACCAGGAATGCTATATATATATATATATATATATATATATATATATATATATATATATATATATATATGTTCTTGGAAGCTTGATTGCACCCTCGCACATCGCACTGAACTCGTTTGCACGTTGTATGAATCTGTACGTTACGACACGTTATATCGTACTGCATCTCGATAGCCTGTCACCGTTTTGCTGCTTAAAAGCTTGATATTGCCGGTATCTCAAGCCGGGCGGAAGCCGCCCATGTATGTACTGTAGTTCAGCCTCAAAAGTAAGCGCAGTCAGCTGTTGGCTCACGGCTAGGCGATATGTTCACTCCCCAGGAACCCCTCACACGGCCACAGAACATCTCAATCGCACCCACGCGTATTTTACGCCGGCTGCTCTTCCTACCTTTCGCGCCTGTTACTTTTCCCACCTTCTGCGCCGGTTACTCTCCCAGCCATACGGGAGCTATCTTCCCCTCTCTTGTTGCCTCTCGTCTTAATCTGGCCGCTGGCATGCTCAGCACGCGCTTGTGTACACCTCGTGATACGCATTTACATCACCCGACACCCCAGTGGCGGTGACGTCGTCCAAATTACGCCCTACTGACGCCCCAGCAGCACCCTAATACACCCCACGTGCCCGGCCGACACCCCGGGGAGTAGGGGCGAGCCTGGTGTTATCCAGCACGTGACCACTCTACAGGACGTCGTCAACCGTTACGAAAAGATCTGCGAGCAGGCCTTGGAGGCCTCCAAGAAGGAGACGCAGATCTACAACAAACACTGGATCGACTCGCCCTGGTCCGGCTTCTTCGAGGTCAGCGGGGGCCGAGGAGGGTGCGGCGAGCTGGCTGTCCGGCCCTGTGGGGTGGAGACGGCTGCTGCGCTGTTTAGGCTTGGAGGAGGTCATTTCCCGGCACGTGGGGAAATGTTGATGATCGGATCACGTACTGTTGGACGATCGAAAGGAATGTGATGTTCAAAAGTTCTTGTGCCGGGGGAAATGTCTGTTAAAGGGTTCCATGAGCCCGGGAGGCAGGAACCGTCACCATCTTGCCGGACGTTTGCGTGCTTTTGCGCATCGTGCAGCTGTTTTTATCTCAAGTGTTGCAACGTCACCGTCACGGGCCACACATCCCGCCTCTGACTGTTGCAGAAGATGTCCTCGTCCCCCCCCCCCCGTCCCCGTCCCCGTCCCCGTCCCCGTCCCCGTCCCCGTCCCCGTCCCCGTCCCCGTCCCCGTCCCCGTCCCCGTCCCCGTCCCATCCCCAGTCCCCATCCCCATCCCCGTCCCCGTCCCAGTCCCCGTCCCCGTCCCCGTCCCCGCCCCGCCCCCGCCCCCGCCCCCGCCCCCGCCCCCGCCCCCGCCCCCGTCCCCGTCCCCGTCCCATCCATCCCCATCCCCATCCCCATCCCCATCCCCGTCCCCGTCCCCGTCCCCGTCCCCGTCCCCGTCCCCGTCCCCGTCCCTATTCCCGTCCCTGTCTCTGTCTCTGTCACTCTCTGTCTCTCCGTCTCTAACTTTCTGACATGTGGCTGGCGGCAGGGCAAGGACCCGCTGAAGATGTCCACCACCGGTGTGGTGGAGGAGACTCTGGCCCACATCGGCAGGCGGGTGGGTTCGGCTCCACCCAACGCCGTGGACTTCGTCATCCACCGTGGGTTGCAGGTGGGGCCAGGTGGACACAGCCACCGGCGTGGCCATTGCTCTCACGTATTGCAGTGTGCTTGCCCACGTTCCCGAGTGGCCCGATCGACCGTCGCCGGCCATACCGATGTGCGCGGTGTGGCCGGCTCACCGCCGCCGGGGTGCGCCGGCCACACTGCGAGTCGCCCCGCCGCGCCCTGACCTGTGTGCCGACCGAGGTGTGACGCTGACGGTGGTGCCGCCGCAGCGGGTGCTGAACTTGCGGCTTGAGATGGTGGAGGAGCGGACGGCCGACTGGGCGCTGGCCGAGGCCATGGCATTTGGCTCACTGCTCAAGGAGGGCGTGCATGTGCGCCTCTCGGGTCAGGACGTGCAGCGGGGCACCTTCAGGTGAGCGACTGGGCACTGCTGGGTCGGTGAGAGGGCGAGTTGAGGGTGGGAGGCGGCGGATGGTGGATCGGTAAGAGCGTAAGCTGTGACAGGTGTCAGGCGGCTAGCAGCTGTTCGTGGTGAATAACCGAGTAATTTTATTGCCTTAGAACCCAACTGATCATCGTCAGGAATTGCTCACTGTTCACCGTCGCACGCACTGCTGCTGGTTATACCTGAGACCGGCTCTTTTTTGTCGGCATCTGTAGCTTCAAACAACGTATTCCTTGAATAAAAAACAGGCGTCCGAACAAAGCTAATAGCCTGTAACGGACGCTGCCACCGAATCTGCTACTTACTGAATACAGAGACCATCTTGCACTGTGGACACGCTAGCCTGCGCCACAGCGGCAGCATGCCTCATCGTAATGGTGCTGCCATCTATCTGCCGGTCTCTGCACTGACACTTTTCTGCCCGTTCGCAGTCACCGCCACCACGTCATGCACCACCAGAAGGTGGACATGGCCACGTACTGCCCGCTGCAGCACCTGTACCCCGACCAGGCCCAGTACTCCATCTGTAACTCGTCACTCTCCGAGTTCGGAGTGCTCGGTGAGTAGCGGCCGAGTTGAGGGGTCGCCGGTGGTGCCCGTGATGGCGAGAGGGAAAGTGGGGCTGTTCTGTTTACGCCATGAGTTGGTATGCTGGTACACCAGACTATACGAGTGCTGGACGCAGCAAAGACACGAGGACAGGAGCGTCGACTCAGGAAACAGCGGATTGGAGAATGACGTAGGTTGTGGTGTGAACTGAACTTACTATTTTAGTGATCACTGACATGTCTAGAGACTCCCGAGATGCCATCGTCCAATAATACATTCGCCGTTGATATGACATCTCGGAAGATCTCATGGCAAAGCTTTTGTAGATCTTACCTTCAGCGCGCTCTCTTGAGCCTGTTTCCTGCCGTCGGGTTTCCTCGTCCCGCGTCATACAAGACAAAAACCCCGCCTTCAGTGGGTGATGTTTGCCCCATACGGCGTCTCCAATGACCAATCAGCGTTCTTTACGCGATGCTCGCGTCCATTCAGGTTCGAGCATACAGCGCCCGGTGGTCAATCCGCTTTCAGCATCCAGTGCCTGGCGACCAATCAGCAGCCGTCGGATCGGTGACGACTCCGCCCCCGTCCGCAGGGTTCGAGCTGGGCTTCAGCCTCACCAACCCGAACGCGCTCGTCTGCTGGGAGGCGCAGTTTGGTGACTTCTGCAACACAGCGCAGGTGAGCACCACTCTGGCACCACTCCAAGAACCACTCCGGGCACCACCGCCCATCAGTGGTGCCCGGTGACACCAGTGGTGCAGCCCTTGAATTGTCTTGTGTGCGCATTTATTTGCAGAGCTGTTAAAGAGGGGGAAGTGGAGTTCAGAAAAACAAGTGGATCTTTTTTGTTACATTTACCTCCAGATGTGTGATGGAGGGGGTGGAGGAGGGAGGGGGGGGGGGCAAAGACAAGTTCCGGAGAAAGGTAGATCCAGGGAGCTAGAATCGCTTTTGAACTAGGGTGGGAGTGAAAAATTCCATCGCAAAACGACCGTGCAGGAGTGAAAAAATCAAGTCACAAAAGATGGAACTTATCAGCTGGTGACTGATGCCTCAGCAAGCAAAGACATCTATTCCATGTTGGCATGGACGTAATATCAGAAATCTGACAAACCTATTTCGTTGTTTAACATCTTAGCCCATTAAAGTGAAACGAAATACATTAACACGCGCTCGGGTGGGGAGGGGTCAAATTAACCCCCGCGAGGGTTTTTCCACGATGGTCTCCGAACGGCGCGGAGCAACCGCGCCAAGTTTTGCATAGCTGTAGAAAATGCCATAGCGAATCGTTTGACATCATGAATTTAAATGTAGCTTGAAACGTCGCTAACCTATGACAGGTCAAAGGCAGCCCATGGTTTCAGCGAAGGCAATTTCTAGGGAATTGCTCAGTCTGATGCAACAACAGAGTGTTTGACGAAGAAATGCATCTCTGAGATGCTTTCGTAGGCACCACAAATATTAAATGAGCAAATTACGTTGACCTAAGGTCAAGTATGGTGGTCAGACCAAGGTCAAAACCAACCTGATTTGTTACTCTAGGGCTTGCTGTATGGGATAGTTTCTGGTGCTCATTTCGAATGTATTGACAGCAGGAACCGCATTATACATCTTCATTTTACTTCTTATAGGTCAGAACAGGCCATTGATCTAAGATGACCCGGGTCGAAAGTTTTGTTTTTGGAACATACCGCCTAGCGTAATCTTTGTCGCTTATTCAAATGCAAAACGCAGAGCAGTCTTGTATCATTTTGGTCACCATGACCTTCAAAAGGTCAAATAAGGTCAATGACCTCAAATGGGCTTGTGACCTTTTACTTAGAGACAGTTGCCTAGGTTTTGGGAGCGCTTTGGAGACCAACCTGGAATTTAACATTGTTTGACCTTATTCCACCCGAAGGTCAGGACCCAGGGAGCTGAAACCTTAACCTAAGTGAGTTCACGTGTAGGTCAAGACACTCTGTAAATTTGGTGTATCTAACTTTCTTAGTTCCCGAGATCTCAGAGGGGGTGGGGGCGTCAAATTGACACCCCACCCGAGTGAAGGGCATCTAGGCGGCCAACCGGGCGCGTGTTAAAGCATACTTATTTCATGACAGTATTATGAGCATAACAAATTATTAACTTCAATAATTTGATGCTGCACTTTTCAATTCCCTTCCACAGCATTTTTAAAGCAAAAGAAAGCAAAGGAATTCAATAACAAAATAACAGAAAATTCAACGAGCATAAAACACTCAAACAAAAAAACCTTGGACTCCCACTCATCAGCCCATCACCACGTCAAACACAATAGACATACTTCTGGCTTCTGTTAAGATGGGGTCAAGGAAAATAAACATTTTGTCCCCATTCCTTACAAAATACCAATGCGTATTTCCCTGAAAATAGCCTGTACTAACTTAAAGAGACCTTACACCATCTCATTCTGAATAACCTGTTTGTATCACAGCAGCAGTTGTGAGTTACTGATTCTTGCACAATTCCTGTTGCCACTTGCCATGCACTTGACCAACTTAACCTAACTTAGAGTAGCCCATATGATGAACATCATCCCAACTCACTTAACTGTTGACAGCAGCCCTTGTGATAAAAACATGATATTTAAAGCTAGTTTTTGGCTGGTTTCAAGTTGCATTTTCATTCAGTTCATTTGTGTATGCTTGTTGACATCAGACAAAGTTGACAAGACACAAATAAAAAACACCTTAAATCACTTTGAACAACTTATTTTAATTGTCATGGTTAACCTATGTCAAGGGCAATAATGGGTATGCTCCATAAAACAATCTCTCTTCTCCAAAAATAGCATAACTTTTAGATGACCATGCCAGTTTTGCTGCTTGCCTTTTCAGCTGCAGCAAATGCATCCATTTGGGGTTGTTTATTCATATTTCATGACAAAGTTTGAGTTGTTGGTTTTACATTTTAAATGGGGTGGTGTGACGATTTGTTACATACCCATATTTAACTCATATTATAATTGTTATGCAGCTTAGAGTATCCCTGTATTAAACATATAGTGCATATATATACTACAGTCATTTGCCAGTCAGCAAACCATGACAACTATAGAAAACATCGGGTTAAAGCAGCCATGAGGGACCACTTTAAGAAATTTGGGGAAGTAATCAAGAGTATGGAACAAAATAAGCAGATTGCACGCCTTGTGGCATCATAATTTGTCTTATGGCAAAACTCGATGCATTAAAACAGAAAATGGCTATCTCTGGTTACCAATCATGTGCTGAAAGCAGGTAAGGTAAGCAATTACTTGGTTCACAGGAGACTTACTGGCTCCTTCCTGCTCCCCCAAAAACAAAAAAATTCAGTACTTTTTGCATGGTCTGCTGATAGACAGAGTCATCCGACTCACCCTCAAGTATAAATATCAATCATGCCCACCAACCTTCGAGATTAAAATGCGAAACAAGTAGGAGGTGTGCATGATAAACATCTCCAGAGGGCAGAATTTCGCCATCAAATACTTGTGTATTAGCTGCGTCATGTCTGTCCCAAGACTCTGTATGGCAGCATAAGAACTGCCTTGCCAGGTAGCCTGGTCAGTCAAACACACGAAAGACTTGGATTTATCATTACTGAGCACCGCCATGAACCAAGAAAACGGTTAACCGAAGGCTTAAGAGGGTAAGAATGGCGGTAAAAGTAAGTTCCGTGCTTCAAATTGTCTCCTTCATTCCCTGTGAATTGTTCACGCTTGGGTGCATATCAAGCATGTTTGGGCGGCTGGCGAATTGATCCAATTATGTATGAAATACGCACAAGCTTCCAGTTGGAGCATCTCGCAGAGGAAATTGGTCAAAATTTTAAGCAGCAGACGGTGCCTCTAAAGACAATCGAAAAGGAAAGAAAAATAAAGTTGTAACACACTGGTATGATACCAAGAAAAACAAAAGTAGCTAAATGAATATAAAGACCGGTACTTTTCTTGCAAATTTTGTAATCAGCTGATTTGACAAAGCATCTGTTAATATAATTGCTCAAATGGTGATATTCATCTTGTAAGTTTAATTTATAACACATTTCTTGTACTTTTCACTCATGCATTTCGGGAGTGATGCAATTTAGTGGTCAAGTTTCCTCGGGAAAAAAGAGATACGTGGAGTAAAATTCTCTACCAGGCCTTGCTGGCGTTTGCACCAGGCTGTGCTTTCGTGGTGTAGTGGTGAGACCAAAAAAATAGGGGATGCGTGAAAACTTTGTATTTGGCGCACAGCTGCAGATTGTGATGCATTTTGTGAACAAACCAAACTTAATGCGTGTAAGCGGCTGGGGTCGCTGGGGTTCTTGGGCTTGGAGGTACCTGGCGCCCTTGCTCTGTGCATACATGACATGATTCCGATGTAGGTGAGGCATGACATAGCCATAGGTGTCCAGGTTCTGCGGAGCCTCATTTATGCTTGGTGGTTTTAAGTGAGCTCGGTTTTGAATGACATCCGAAAACCTCAGAAAGGAAAATAGGGATTCGGCGTGTGCGATCAGTCATTGTCAGGCAGTAGTGAAAGATTCACCTAGAATATGTGGAAAAGGAGTGAAAAATTCCTCCTCATGGGGTGTTGTTTTACACCCAAAGTCGGCAATTCTAGGACACTGGGTAGATCAGTCGTCCGCCGTGACGACACGGTCGTCTGATTGATCGGCGCCCGTCTCGCCAGGTGATCATCGACCAATTCATCGCCTCGGGCCAGGCCAAGTGGGTGCGACAGTCGGGCCTGACCCTGCTGCTGCCGCACGGCATGGAGGGCATGGTCAGTGACGCGGCATGCAGGGCGCCACCGGCGGGTTCGCAGAGTGTGGACTGATCCAAGCGTTCAGGGCAAGTTGCCCCGGCGTCAAATGGCTGCTTGAAGTAATCACGTAAAGTGGACGTAGTTTTTCCAACGTCGCGTCGGTCAAGCTCAACTTCAACTATGTTAATGATTAATTGCCTGTGCTCTGAACGCGTCTCCCAGTTCCCAGCAGCACGGCTTTGTAGCACCTGACGGCTATGCTCTGCATTTTTGTGTGGTCACACGTCATTCTGTCATGTTTTGTCCTGCTCTGTCCCGCCCTGCCCTGCCTTACCATGCCCTGCACCGTCCTGTCCTGCCCTGCCCTGCCCTGCCTTGACCTGTCCCGTCCTGTCCGGTCCTGTCCTGTCCTGTCCTGTCCTGTCCTGTCCTGTCCTGTCCTGTCCTGTCCTGTCCTGTCCTGTCCTGTCCTGTCCTGTCCTGTCCTCCCGTCCCGTCCCGTCCCGTCTCGTCCCGTCCTGTCCTGTCCTGTCCTGTCCTGTCCTGTCCTGTTCTTCCCTGACCTGTCCTGTGCTGTCCCGTCCCTGCCGGCCCTGGCCTGGTTCGCTTGCTCTGCTCTGCCCTCGCCGCCTCTGACTAGTCCCCCCCCCCCCCTGCCCTGCAGGGCCCCGAGCACAGCTCCGCCCGCCTGGAGCGGTTCCTGCAGATGTGCTCCGACGACCCAGAGTACTTCCCGCCGTTCGCCGCCGACGAGTTCGCGATCCGACAGCTGCACGACAGCAACATGATTGTGAGCGAAGGACGGGAGCTTGAACGGGAGTGCCAAAACCCCGTGCTTGGGGCTGTAGGGCCCGGGTTCGATTCTCGGGGAAGGCGAAAAATTTATATCGTCTCGCGTGACAGGGATGGTGATTCGCATGAATATCGACGGAAATGATGCTCAGCAGGTTCACATGTCGATAGGGACGCAGTGTGATGGTGCAGCGGAAGTTGGTGCCTGCCAAAGGTGGTATTTTAGCCGCGCTGGCTGAAGTCACCACCCGTCGAAAGGTCAAGTCGGCAAAGTGATAGCGTTAGCAGATAGCGTCCATCGAACATAGCCAACTCGAAAGACGTCCGATGTTTCCCCCGGGACCTCCTCTTCAGGAGGGGAGCACGCGGAAGGCTCATCGCTGAAAATGCTAGGTGATCCGCCACAGCGGTGTCCTGTGCCAACAGGTGGCGAACTGCAGCATGCCCAGCAACTACTTCCACGTCCTGCGGCGCCAGATCTACCTGCCGTTCCGGAAGCCGCTGATCCTGATGACGCCCAAGTCTCTGCTCCGCCACCCGCGCGCCAGGAGCAGCTTCGACGACATGCGGGAGGGCACCGAGTTCAGGAGGTGGGTCAGGAGCGCTGCCAATTCAGGAGATGGGCCAGATGGAGGGCGAGGAGGCGGGTCAGAGGACATTGCAAAGGGCCAGGAGATGGGTCAGGGGATACTGTGAAGGGTCAGCGGGTCAGAGGTGAAGTGTATGGTCGCAGATTCGGAAAGCCAAACATGCGCGTTATCTGGATTTGTCGAGGGGAGGGGAGGGTGTTGTGTCATCTGGGTGTGTCGAGGGGAGGGGAGGGTGTTGTGTCATCTGGGTGTGTCGAGGGGGGAGGGTGTTATGTCATCCGGGTGTGTCGAGGGGACGGTGGTGTCGTGTCATATGGGTGCTTCGAGGGGAGGGGAGGGTGTCGTGTCATATGGGTGTGTCGAGGGGAGGGGAGGGTGCCGTGTCATCTGGGTGTGTCGAGGGGAGGGGAGGGTGGTACCGTGTCATTTGGGTATGCCCCCTCCGTTAGTGACACTCTGTTAGTGACCCTCTGTCAGTACCTGTCTTTTGCCCTCTGTCGGTGCTCTCTCATTGCGACCCTCCGTCAGCGGTCCTCTGTCAGTGACCCTCTGTCAGTACCTGTCATGGCCCTCTGTCGGCGCTCTCTCGGTGCGACCCTCTGTCAGTGACCCTCTGTCAGTACCTGTCATGGCCCTCTGTCGGTGCTCTCTCGGTGTGACCCTCTGTCAGTGGCCCTCTGTCAGTGGCCCTCTGTCAGTGACCCTCTGTCAGTACCTGTCATGGCCCTCTGTCGGCGCTCTCTCGGTGTGACCCTCTGTCAGCGGTCCTCTATCTCTGCGCCGTCGGTGACCGGGCGCCCTCGCCACAGGGTGCTGCCGGACGTGGGCCCGGCGGCCAAGTTGCCGCAGGCCGTGCGTCGGGTCATCTTCTGCAGCGGCAAGGTCTACTTCGACCTGGAGAAGCGTCGCGAGGAGCTGGCGCTGCAGGAGCAGGTGGCCATCGTGCGGCTGGAACAGGTGACGACGGCGGCGGCGGCGGGGCACAGCGAGGAGCGGCGACGAGCGTCGAGTCGGTGGGGAGGGGCACGGACCGGCAGCAGGGCCAGGAGCTCGGCGGGGTTAGGGGAAGGGGTCAGGGAAGCGTTTTGGGGTGCGGGTCTTTGGTTGAATGGACGAGGAAGGCGTCACCAGCGAATCCCAGACAGGCCCCTGACTCTGCGGCGCGGCCGCATCTCCCCATTATTCCGACGAGCCTTGACCCTTGTTCACCCTTGACCTTGCTTGACCTTGCGTGTCTGGCCTCCAGCTGTCGCCGTTCCCGTTCGACGAGGTGAAGCAGCAGCTGGACCTGTACCCGGCCGACGCCGACATCGTCTGGACGCAGGAGGAGGCCAAGAACAACGGCGCCTGGGCCTACATTGAGCCGCGCTTCGAGACCACGGCCGCCCGGGCCAAGGTCATCAGGTGAGAGGCCGCAGAGGTCAAGGTCATCAGGTGAGAGGCCACAGAGGTCAAGGTCGTGCGACTGTTGAGCCAGGCCGGCAGGCGAGCGTTGCAGAAAGGCCAAGCGGAGACGAACACAGGCGTGACATGTTAAAACTGCGGCATGTGTGATGCATGTCAAGGTCACGTGGCCAGATATGCTGGAGGACAAGATGCCGTCTGCGATGCAGATCGAGTGGTCATTCCACGCCCTCCATGAGGAGCTAAAGACGAGTCAGCTCATGTTAGCAATGGCATAGCAGGAGACAAAGGTTGCTGTGACAGGGCGAGATCGGTAGGACTAGGCAGAGGGGACAAGGGGACGATATCAGTAGGCAGTCATGCTACAGATACAGGTCCAGCCTCGTCCAAGGCAGCTGGTAACAAGCATCTACGTTCAGGATGTAGATGAATTTGTATGTTGTTCTTCCACTGACTGTTCGAGACAGCATGTTCTTCATTCAAACCATCGGCCGACCTCCCACACCATCGGCCGACCTTTCACACCATCGGTCGACCTTCCACCCGTGTTTACCGCTGCCGACGTGTTGCCGGCGGCAACGTGTTGCCGCGGCCGATGACGTCAGCGCTGCCATCGGCGCGCGGCTCGCTCCCGCCGCCGGTGCGCCGCCCTCGCTCCCGCCGCCGGTGCGCCGCCGCGCCGGCCGTGTGACGGTGGCTGGCTGACCTCAGCCCCCGCCGCCGCAGGTACGTCGGCCGCAGCTGCAGCGCCTCGCCGGCCACCGGCAGCAAGACGGCCCACGTCAAAGAGCTGGATCAGCTGCTCGGCGACTCGTTCGGTGGCTTGTAGAGCGCGGCGCGGCCGGGAGGCGGCGGCGCGCCGCCTGGGGGTGCGTCACGCCGCCAGCCCGGAGGTCATCCCGGCGGCGCGGGCGGCCGCGGTGCCGGCCGGTGCTGCGGTCAGGCGTGTGGCGGGGTGTGGCGGCGGTACCGGTGTTGTGGCGTGGCCGTGTGCTGCCGCTGCCGCCGGCGGCGCCAGTGTGCCGCGGCACAGGCCCTGTCACAGGCGTCGCGCGCCGAGTCATGTGTAAAGTGTCGGCGTCACAGCGTCACAGTGTCAGTGTCACGTGTCACAGTGTCAGTGCAACGTGTCACAGTGTCAGTGCAACGTGTCACAGCGTCACGTTTCAAGGTGTCATTGTCACGACACGGTGGTGTCACGCAGTGTCTTCAATGTCAACACGACACAGTGACTCCGACGTGGGTGGCCAACCGAGAGTGGCAAGCCAGGCTCCGGTCATTGACCTGTCTGGCCGCGGACGAAGTTCGCTCGGCTGGCCTTCTGCGGGCCTCTGCTGGCCTTCTTCTGCTGTCGTGCTTGACCCGATGTGGCCGGACCCGACCGGAGACGCCCTGAGGTGACCTGGGGTCACCTTGATGACCTGCGTGCGAGTCCGCTGCCGCCCGTCCGCCGGCCGGACCCGCCTCCCGCGAGACCAAAGTCGCGTCCGAGCTCGCGAAGACCAAAGTCGCGCCGAGGAGCCGCCCGACGGAATTTGTACCGGCGCCAGGCCGCTGCGAGTGCGATAAGGCCGTTGGCCGGTGGATGCGGCTCGACTTTGGTCGCTAACGCGCGTGCGGCCGAGCTGACCGGCGGTGCTCGGTGGCCACGTGACCGGTGACCGGTGTGCTTGGTATGGTGACGGTGGCCACGCGCTCGGCTCTACTGCGCGGTGATGGGGCGGCGCAGTCACGGCGCGCGCGCACGTGCCGGCAGACTTATGGGGCTAGCGACGGCTGAAAATGTCGACCGCGCCTGGCTGCGGCTGCGTGACCTGCCGTGACTTGGATGCCTCCCAAAGCGTGCCCAAAGGAGCGGCATGCGATAGGTATGAATATACTGGCCCTCGCCAGCGCGGTGCGGTTCTTCGGGAGTAATTTGTGCGCCGCCGCGTTGTGAGGGCGAGCGCAGCGGCTGCCCGGCTCCTCTGCGTTGTGAGCGTCGGGGTAAGCCGGCTGGCGCCCGGTTCTGTTGTTAACAGGTGTGTCGCACGACTGCTGCCCCGCCGACGTGGAGCCGATTGTCGGTCTCGTGCTTTACCGCCGTGCCTTGCTGAGGAAGCCGATGCGGGCGGGTGAGAGAGGGAGGGCAGGGGGGCTTTCCAGAGCTCGGCTTCTGATCGTGCTGGAGGGGGGGGGGGGGGGGGGGGCGGCTGTCCGCGTTTGCGGTCGGCGAGAAATATGAAAGTGGCGAATAGTCGTGGCGTTTTTGCTGCAGGAGAGCATTTTCGAGTGGGAACGGCGTCAGGGATGTGAGTGAGCGTCTGCTGAGGCGAGGCTGGGATGAGCAGCATGCCACCCTGCTGCAGGAGAACAGGAGGGAGAGCCGAAGCCTCCTTCTCCCTCTTTTGCTCTCCCTCACTCTCTTTCTCTCCCTCTCCCTCCCCCTCTCTCTCCCCTCTCTCTCTCCCTCCCTCTCCCTCTCCCTCTCTCTCCCTCGCGTCCCATCCCCAGTGCGCCACAGGCAGCGGCAAATGGAATGCAAATGAAAGACTTCCAGTGAACACCACCTCGGCCGGTCATCTGTGCCCCCGCACAAGTGACCGGCCGAGGCCCGACTGGGCCGCTCTTACGCTCGCTAGTGGCTCACGCGATGCATTTGGCCACGTCAGCGGAAGCGAAGGCTACCTGTGCCGAAACTCCCTCCCCGCAGGCCGCCGCTGGGGGAAGGGAGACCTGCCCAGCTGGAGTGTTGGGGGCCGGGGATGGGGCCGCTCTGACGCGTGGCCGGTCACCGCCCCCCCCCCCCCCACCCCGCCCCCTCTCCGGCTGGAGGGGGTTGCCATCTTCGGGTGTCGCTCACCGCGCACTGCCTCTGGCGACGTCGATCCACCGTGGCGCGGACCGGTCTGTGGCGGTGCTGCTCCCGAGGCGCGGCCAGGCCTGTGGCGGTGCTGCTCCCGAGGCGCGGTCAGGCCTGTGACGGTGCTTCTCCCGAGGCGCGGTCAGGCCTGTGGCGATGCTGCTCCCGAGGCGCGGTCAGGCCTGTGGCGGTGCTGCTCCCGAGGCGCGGTCAGGCCTGTGGCGGTGCTGCTCCCGAGGCGCGGCCAGGCCTGTGGCGGTGCTGCTCCCGAGGCGCGGCCAGGCCTGTGGCGGTGCTGCTCCCGAGGCGCGGTCAGGCCTGTGGCGGTGCTGCTCCCGAGGCGCGGTCAGGCCTGTGGCGGTGCTGCTCCCGAGGCGCGGTCAGGCCTGTGGCGGTGCTGCTCCCGAGGCGCGGTCAGGCCTGTGGCGGTGCTGCTCCCAAGGCGCGGCCAGGCCTGTGGCGGTGCTGCTCCCGAGGCGCGGACCGGCCCGCGGCGGTGCTGTGGTTTGTGCCGAGGAGTGGTCGCCGGCCTGTGGTTTGTGCCGGGGAGTGGTGGCCGGCCTGTGGTTTGTGCCGAGGAATGGTTGCCGGCATGTGGTTTGTGCCGAGGAGTGGTGGCCGGCCTGTGGTTTGTGCCGAGGAATGGTTGGTTGCCGGCATGTGGTTTGTGCCGAGGAGTGGTGGCCGGCATGTGGTTTGTGCCGAGGAGTGGTGGCCGGCCTGTGGTTTGCGCCGAGGAGTGGTGGCCGGCCTGTGGTTTGTGCCGGGCAGTGGTGCCGGCCTGTGGTTTGCGCCGAGGAGTGGTGGCCGGCCTGTGGTTTGTGCCGGGCAGTGGTGCCGGCTCCGCTCGTCAGAACTGCGAGGCTTGGAAATGCGTACCGCCTTGTTGTCTCACCCGCTTCTCTTCTGCTATCATGCCGAGGGCTTTAAGTAAACCAATTTGCTTTGAACAGCACAAACTGGCTTTGATGCCTCATGCTTGCCTGAATAAAACAAGCTGGCTTCAAATGAAAATAATAATTAGGTAAATTTCAAGGACTCGGGCAAACTTACTCATCTAATCCACGTCTTTGCGAGTCATCGTGTGGACCCGTGCGCATTTGGTGACGATCCACGACGTGCATGTCGTCCCCTCTTCCCCGATGCCTCGCAGTCCTCGCCTCGCCTCGCCTCGGTAGCCTCGCAGTCCTCGCGAGAAGGAGGCGTGTTTTAACGTTTAGCAGGGCGACCCTTTTAGTATATGGGCGAGAGACTAGCTGTGCATGGCCAGGCAGGGCGTCGGAAACATGCCGCACAGCTCGGGCAGCGATGGGTATTGTGCGCCAAAACACAGAGAACCGCCACCTGACGGCTCGGGCAGCGATGGGTATTGTGTGCCAAAACACAGAGAACCGCCACCTGACGGCTCGGGCAGCGATGGGTATTGTGTGCCAAAACACAGAGAACCGCCACCTGACGGCTAGGGCAGCGATGGGTATTGTGTGCCAAAACACAGAGAACCGCCACCTGACGCGGACCCCACAGATAAAGCTCAGATGGATACGCTGTGCATTACTGAGATGCGGATCAGCATTGTGAGGCGGCAGGCGGTGCTGCACCGACGCCGACGGCGCCGGCTCTTTGCGCAGTAAAGCAAGCGCGGGCCAAAGATCATAGCGATTCGATGTCCGAGTGGACGTTATAGTATTGCATGGGCACAGTGGCCTACTTTTCCATGAGTGTTCAACAAATTAAACAGATCCTGACTCCGGGACGCAGCCAAGGCGGGGCGCGGGGGGGGGGGGGCAATGCAGCATGCCCCTGCGCCATTAAACATACACTAGATGCTGTGCAGACTCGCATGAGTTCGGTGTGAACTCGTAGGAGTTCGCTGTGAACTCGCCGGAGTTCGCTGTGAACTCGCAGGAGTTCGGTGTGAACTCGCAGGAGTTCACGGCACGTTTAGCATCTCCTGAAGACAAGTCTGGCAGCGTGCCTCCGCTAGCTGAGAGCCACCTCACGTGGCTGAGGCACCGTTGCGTCTTCGGCGGTGAAGCTGATGACGCTGGCCGTGTGGTCTTAGCGTTGCGAATCCAGCGAAATCCATTTGTACTGCCCTGTCCAGGCCATCATGATGGGATTATGGGGTTTCATTCCCTGCTTGTGATTCCATGATGTCGGTTCATTTCAGTGTCATGCGCCGAAGCCGTTGAGTTTTCTATGTAGATTTCCCTAAACGCCTGAGTTCAACACGGTCTTGAGCTTCAACAAGGTCTTCACAGTCTTGAGCTTTAACACGGTTTTCACGGTCTTAAGGTTTAGTACGGTCTTCACAGTCCTTATGTTCAACACGGTCTTCACGGTCTTGAGGTTCAACACGGTCTTCACGGTCTTGAGGCTCAGCACGGTCTTCACGATCTTGAGATTCAACACGGTCTTCAAGGGCTTGAGGTTAAACACGGTCTCCATTTTCGTCACGTGCGAAACAGTTCAGAAACGTAAGTGAAATGGATACAAGATAGCGACCGTAAAGCCACCCACTCCCAAGTTTTTGGCCTGTTATTTCGACCCATTTGAATGCCAGATTGCTACCGGCTGGATTGTCGGCGAGATGTGGGAGGTTGGGGCGTGCCGTTCTCGCCGGCCACTTACAGTGCTGTCTGTTCGTAATACCCACGGTCCCTCCGGCTTCCCAGTGTCGTAAACGACACGGTCTTCACGCTAACGAATGCCAGATTGCTACCGGCTGGATTGTCGACGAGATGTGGGAGGTTGGGGCGTGCCGTTCTCGCCGGCCACTTACAGTGCTGTCTGTTCGTAATACACACGGTCCCTCGGGCTCCCCAGTGTCGTAAACGATCGCATGGGTCCGTTAGTTTATTTTGCAGTGTATCAAGAAGCGTGGCAAGACAGTCGAGGTACGACACAACTTTACCGGAGAACGATCCCTTTTAGCGACTACAAAGTCGTGGACGGACAGCTAATCAAAAGAAGCTACTCAACTCCATTTTGTCGCGGCTTAGACGGCAGTTACACCCAGACAGCCGAGTCATGGGCGTTTGTCTAA